CTTCACCATACTCTGTTGTTGCTGTGGGACCCACTGTGTGCAAACTGTTGCAGGATCAAAAAGCAGAGACAGAGTTAGCCTAGACATGAGGAAGGAAACCTTTCTTGAGAAACACCCTGCAACCCATGGCTTTGGAAATGTAGATAGATACAGACAGAAAAAAAATTAAAACCGATAATCCTTTTTAGAGTTAGAAACTTTAGGGCAGAATAGGGAAGGAACTTACACAAAGATGGGCATAAGTAAGATAAAGGGGTCTAGCCTGGCTGGAAGAATAGAAGTAATGAAGTTTAATTAAGAATAAGAGAATTAGGATGTGATCAAATAGTTGACAGAAAGCCATTGGGTTTTTGACATCATGCTATGTCAGGGCTGCCCCCCAGGAATTTCCCTCCTCCTTCCATGGTGCCAGGGTTTTTGTGTATCTGTGAACCTTGGGATCCTTGAGAATATAAAAATCCCAGAGCCCCACTTTTTTTGCACATCCAGGGTGTCAGTAATACAGTGGTTAGCAGAGTTTAGGACTTAGAGACGCCGTCAGTGATTATCTAGATATCCTAAGTACTCTCCCAGCATGGAAGAGGAGCATTGTGGGAGGCTGAGGCTGCTAAACAACTCTTACATCAGGACTAGCACAAATTGACCTGCCTCCCACCATGTGTCTCCCTTATTTTCCCCATATTGGGACTAACATAAGGGTGGCAGTGGTTCTAGGTTTGTAAGATCTGGTACTCGTACAAGTTTGGAGGCTAAGAAAAAAGAATACGGAAGTTTGTATGTATTTATAATGAGGAAAGAAATCATAACAAATGCCTGAAGATTCAGGACCCTTTGAGAATATTCAGGTCCTTCCCGTGTTCTCCTTAGGCTTATGTGCAGATGCTTTCTGGGCATGGAGAATGCTCTATAACTCTAGCACTCACAGGGCATAAGTGCTATTTGCTCCCTAGTAAGTCCATCTAAGATAAGGGTAGCTATGAATTTATTGAAATTTTTCTGTCATTTATTGATGGCTAAATAACATTTTTTTGGTTTAAAAGACAGTAAATCTGTGCAATTGATTGTTCTAGAAGAAATGAACAGTGTTTGAGACCTGTACTAATAGTACTTAAACCAGAAGCTTTGACATGTATAAATAGTCATTGCTCAAACTGGCAAACTGCTATGTCAGGCAGTGTGCTTGATGCTTTCATCTAACCCTCCTGCAATGCTTATAATGCAAGTAGGTGCTATTAATACCCAATTTACAGAAGAATAAACTGAGGCTTATGGAGGTAAGGGACTTATCCAAGATCACACAACTAAAGCTGTAGGACTGGGATGCGAACGGACTCCAGAACTTGCCTTCTGTGTATCAGTTATGGGGATATGTATTTACTGAAGAAATAATGGGTCAATTGGCAGTTAAAGCAGAATTCAGAATTTTAGTTTTATATCCCCAGTGTTATATCTAAGCATCAAGTAATACGTAACTCGTGTTCTGTGTTACTTAGGTGTGCTGCCAAAATGACATCTTAAATTGGTAGTTCTTTTATATTAGGCCATCTGGCACGTGTTTAGAGCCCTTTATGATGTTTGTGCTCTCAAAATATAATCGAACATCAGTGCCAGGTGTGTTGGCTCATGCCTG